GGGGTGGAGGGCAAGCAGCAGCTGGGGCCCTGGCTTCAACCCAAGAGCTGATGCTGGAGCAGGAGTTGGAGCCACAGCAATTGCCACTCCTCACTCCCTCCCCAGTGCCTTGTGCTTGATTCCAAGGTGAGGGGCTTTTTCTCCCCTTGAGGAAAAACCTCATCTTGGAATCAAGTAAATAAGGCATGGTCTTTTTGTTCTTGCATCTAAAGAATTAGGGACAAAATAGGGGGATGGATTGAAGCACTGTGGATTACACTGAGCCTTCTGCTAGTGCCATGCCAGCATTAGAACTGCAATGGTGCAGGATGTCATGGTGGGTGACACAATGGTTAGTCTGGATTGGAGAATTTTTTGGAGAGCATTCAAGATACTTGGTTCTGTGCACTTATGAGCAATAAAATTGTAGTTGTATGCATATAGGTATCACAGAAAATGCAGTAATTTTTACTTACTTGATTTTAAGCCTACCAGTGAACTGAGTTTTTACATAACTAAGGAACACAATGGTGGTTTTAACACCTTTCTTCCCTGTAGCCTGCAATTCAAAAGCAATACTTTCCAGAAAGCCAACTACTGCAAATTTGCTTGCAGAATAGTCTGTAAAGTGAGGAATGAAGAAACATTTAAAAACATATCTATCACCACATGCTAAGTGTTATTTACCAAATGTAATGTGAAGAATTACATTACCTTTCAGTTATTTGGGGATGAATTTCATAGGGTTACTGAAGTGAATTAAATAGGAAGCAGGATGGAATGCTCACTAATATAAAGGTCAGACAGCATGGTTTGTTGTTCGAGAATTACAAAACAGTTTTTTTCATATATAGGAAAACCTAAATATGACAGTTGAAATGTGATCTAGAATGACCTGGATGCTGAAAACTTTTAGTGCCCCTTGAGGTCAACTCCCTTCACTCATACAAACCTAGATATTCTCAGTATGACCTTTTTGTGAAAGATGCCCAAACTTACCCTTATTTCATGTGCATTTGCACACTTTTCAGACATCTCCTTTTAGCAGTTCGGTTGTATCTCCCACTTAATCTCTCTCTAACTGAATTTCTTCTCTTTCCTCCCTGCCCTGTGTCATGGATCCCCAGCCAGAAACACGTGAAAGTAGGTGGGGCAGGAGATGTTGTATAGATGTTCTCGGGGCAGCGACCATTAGGGGGTGGCTGCAGAGACAGGGGTCTTTAGGAGGAGAGGGGGAATGAAAGTCCCTGCTTGAGTTTTTATAGAAGTAGTTGACCCCAGCTATTTTTATGAGGGCCAGGTAGTAGTCTGAAAGTAGGATAAGGTTTTTGTCAGGTTTCTTTTACAATACTCTGTCTAGGCATTTAGTCACTTTTTCTTATTTATACAAGTCCTTCTTCCTTGGAATAAACTCTTTATTCTGTTATTTTACCAAAGTGCCAGTGGTAAATTAGGATTCCTGGACAAATGAATGACCCGGGCATACCCATTCAGCAAAGTGAGGACCCATAAGCTTACACAAACCCAGGATGTATTTCTAGGAGGACCCTCCAGGGTTTTGTCACACCCATCTCTCAAGTTATGCTCTTCCATCAGCTAACAACGCCAATGTCCCTCTTATTGCCCAGTTTCATTAAAATATGATATCACCATCAGAATCTTCTTTTCTTCACTATCCGGTCTCTCAGCTTTTCAATAATATTTTCACTAAATCATGATATCAGTCCTTTTCTGACCAGCATCACTGCTAAAATGCTTGTCTCCATCAACTTGGACACTTCCCATTGGTTAGTCTGATCTCCCCTCCACCTGTAATTTTCCTAACGTAGTTTATCCAACAAGCACTGCTAGAATCACTTTACTATCCCGCCTTTGCAACCATACTGCATTCTCTCCTTGAATGCCTATATTGTTTGTCTCTTTTACTGCATAGGATTCAAACTCTTTGTCGTCTTCCCCAAGGGTCTATGTAATACTGCCTCATACAAAGTCTCTACTCCCTTTTCTTCATACTTCCTTTCCATTATGTCTTTTACAGTCTTCATCCTGCACTTTTGCCTCTCCATTAGCATTCTAGCTTTTCCATAAATCTGAGACATTGATTCTTCCCCTCCTTAAAAACACTTTCTTCTAGAGATTCTTCCTGTCCTGTTCCTATCAATTATCTTTCCCTACTCTCCTTTTCTCATACACTAGAAGGGCTAGGAGGGAAACCTTGGACATAACTGTCTTTTCTCTGATGCTTTATTTTTTTTTTAAATAGTGATCAACCATATAGGAACCCCATGACCTCTTAGCTTGACAGCTGCCTCTTCCTTATGCCATCTAGAAACAGAATTCAGAAACTTAAGCAACCTTTGAGATGTTCCACAGCTCCCTTTTCATCCTATTGTGTATCAGCTTGCAACCAGCTCCAGGTACCAGGACACCAGATTCTTTAAAACATTTAAGATTCCAGGTACACCTGTACAACTTTTACAAGTTGACTGGCACCCCATTTAAAAAACTATTTTACTTATTACAATGCTTATGTCTTTGCCAAGGTGCTGGGCAGCAGAGGCAGAGGAGCAGCCAAGCACAGAAGAACCTGAGCCTGTGTTTATCGTCTCACACTCTCTTATTTCCTGTGCTTATCTCCTTGCACCTGTGGTACCCTTCAAAGGATATCAGTTAGAGAATCAGTGATTTAATCAAAAAAGCATCTCATTTCAACACTCTTTTTTAATGCATGTGCATTAACACCACCAATTACTTTTTATCTCTCTGCTGTACCTTATCACATCCCTTGTTTTCTTGCTTCTAACCTTAATGCTACTCTTTCCCATCACCAACTCGCACCCAGTGTTTGGGTTATGCCTCTGTTCACCCTCTACATCTGTCCACTTTTTCATGTAATCTCTTACCTCCCTGACTCTACTCTGGACTCTTTTAAGAAATGTTTGGATGCTTATCTTGCTGGGATAATTTGACCCTAGCTGACTTCCTGCCCCTTGGGGCGGTGGGCTAGACTCAATGATCTTCTGAGGTCCCTTCCATCCCTAATGTCTATGAAACTATGGATCTGTTAAACTCTCCTCACTGCTGCTCCATTCTTCCCAGACAAAAAAAAAGAAGTTTCTTTACCTCATAAAGCAATCATATACTAAGAATATATTTTCTACTTGAGTTTAGAGCTCTCGAGGAAACAGAATATGGCTAAATCTGAAGTGTTGAATAAGTATACTATGTGGAATATATTAATAATTGAAATAGCAGTCATGTAGGACAGCGTGTGGATTCTTGAAATCAATTAAACAGATTGGGCTTGTTTTTTCTCTGCTTATAATCTTCATAAATATCTATGGGGTCTAAATGAGCTTACTGAATATTTGTATTACAGAAAAGACAACTGTACTTAGGAAATTCTGAGATGTCAAAAGTGAAATGATTAAGCAGTGTATATTTCAACCCCATTTATGAATAGATACATAAAGCACTAACCTGACACTTTAGTGACACCAACAAGTCCAGCTCCACTTGAAATGCTTATCAAGTGTCCATGGTTACGAGCAATCATGGCTGGAAGGAAGGCTTTGCAAGTCTATGAAGGACAGTGTATATCACCATTGTAGATAAACATATAAGAAAACATGTAGTTCAGTATCTTCAGCATTCAAAAACCACATCTTTGACTTATGATTCACCAGCAAGGACTTTTAAGTTTTGTGAGCATTTGGGAAAAAAAGAATCAACTTTACCCTAGAATCACCAGGGCTCTTTGGAGGGATTTTTTTTTAAGCACAGGAAGTACTCTTATCTCTTCCATTTACTGATGTTCACTGGTATGACTTTCAAAGTTTCATTAATACATTTCTATATTTTCTTCACATTTATTGATTGACTGAATAATTGCTTTATATGCCATCCCTCTCAACAAAGGCTCAGGGTGGCTTACAAAAAGACAAAAGGATAACTTAAAAACAGGAGAGTGATGGGGGACCAAAACAACTTAAAAGGAACTAGAACATCAAGAGAAAATAAATTCTTAACTTATATCTCCTAGATTTCTTTGGCAACACTGAAATGATTGACTGAGGGAACTGCATGCAACTTACCAGATAGATCACGGCTGTTCAACTGGGAGCCCAACAGCCACGTGTGGCCTCAAAGAGGTTAAATTGCAGCAGCAGGGCTCCCAGCTGGCTGCTGCTCCTCCCATTGGTTTGGTTGCAGCAGCATCTGGGGACTCCAGACTCTGACTTCACCTTCTTGCCACTGCCTCAGCCCAGCCATGCAGTGCTGAAGAGTGTGGTACAGCCTTCAGTGCTGCAGAATCACATAGCTCTTGGTGGCTTTATGAAGTCATGTACAGGCAGAGCTCATGACTGGGAAGCAGGGTGCCTGGGTGCATGGTGCAGCAAGGAATCATGGGGAGCAGCAGTGGGGCAGGGGGTGCAGTACAGCAGGGGGGTTCACAGCGCAGGGGGGACTTTGGGGTGCAGAGGCAAGGGGTGCACAGAGGAGCACTGGAGCACATTCAGATGCATGGTAAAGTGGTGGGAAGGGACTGTACCTCCTGAGGACAATGGTGAGGCCTGATGGGCATGTTGTGTGTGGCCTCTGGACACTCAGAAGTTGGACAGCCGTAAGATTTATATGCCACCCTTCTTAACAATAGCTTAGGGCAACATACAATAAGAAGACAGAATAACGGTGGTGTTACAGGTTACATTTAAGCCATCATCAAGACACTTTAAAGGGAGCATTTCCCTGTTTAAGGGTGTTATCCTGTCCTAAGTACCCTCTAAATGTTTTAAAGATAAGCCAAATGCAGTGAGGGTTATCTTTGATCCATCTTATCCAGGTCATTCCAGGGTGTTGTTAGTCAGCTCCTGAGAAATAAAATGCTTAATTTGCAGTCCTCCAGTAACCCAGAATGCATAGCTCCCAGCTCCTCTATACATTTCAGTCCTCTAAACCTTTACTGCTCTACCCTCCCGGCTCTATTACAGACCTCCTAACCAGGAGGAAAAGCTTGACCATGAATTTGCTAGGGAACTGGCAGAGGCTGCATGCTCTCGGTGCATGGTCATCATGGGTGACATCTCATGGGAGGAGCATTCAGCCAAATCTTATTGGTCATGAAACATCGTCACTTGCATTGATGAGCTGTATTTGACTCAAGAAGTCTATAGGCTGACAAGAGGTAAGGTGCTGCTGGATCTGGTACTGGCCAAAGGGGATGATCTAATCAGTGGCCTGAGGATCAAAGTGAAGCTTGGTGACAGTGATCACGAATTGATCAATTTCTCTATGCATCACAAAGCTGGCAAATCAGTCAGCAATGCAGAAATCCTTGACTTTAGGAAAGCTGACTTTCACAAGCTCAGGAGGTTGGTTGTTGAGGCCCTGAGAGTTCATGATCTGACAGGGAAGGGAGTCCATGATGAGTGGTCTCTCCTTAAGCATGTGATCCTAAAAGCACAAGAGAAGTCCATTCCAGTGCTGGGAGACCCCCTTGGCTCAATAGGGAACTCATGGACCCCCGAATTTGAAAAGAGAAGCTTATAAGGGATGGAAGTCCATAGCTACCACTAAGGAAGAATATGCAGCACTGGCCCATACCTGAAGGGAGCGAGCTAGGAAAGCCAAGGCTGAAACCAAACTCAAACTGGCTATGGAAATCAAGGACAATAAAAAGTCCTTTAAATACATGGGAAGTCAGAAAAAAAAATAAGGGCAACATAAGACCCTGGCTGAACCAAATGGGGCAGCTGACAACTGACACCCAGGAGAAAACTAATCTCCTCAATGATAACTTTGAGTCAGTTTTCCATCAGCCCAAGGGGATCACTCTGCCTGACAGGATGCAGGACTATCAGGGTAAGGGTGATCATATACCTATAATTGGCAAAGATCTTACGAGAGAACAGCTTAACAGGCTGGACATCCACAAGTCAGCTGGCCCGAATGGAATGCACCCAAGGGTGCTAAAAGAGTTGGCTGACATCACAGCATGACCAATGGCTAGGATATTTGAGAACTTGTGGTGCTTGGAAGAGGGTCAACGTGGTGCCTATCTTCAAGAAAGGAAGGAAGGAAGATTCAGGGAACTACAGGCCAATTAGTTTGACCTCAATTCCTGGAAAGAACTTGGAAAAAAATCATCAAAGAAACCATCAACAACCGGCTAACATAAGGCTACACTCTGAGAGATAGCCAACATGGCCTGACCAACCTCATGTTCTTCCATCACCAGATGGTGCATCACCTGGACAAAGGAAAACAGGTTGATGTCATATATTTCACTTTCAAAAAAGCCTTTTACTTGGTCTTCCATGATGTCCTCATGGTAAAATTGGGGAACTGTGGCCTTGACAACCTTACAGTTTGATGGCTGGGGAACTGGCTCTGTGGTTGGACCCAGGGAGGGATAGTCGATGGAACTGACTCTGCAGTGCTACACTCACCAAACAAGGGAAGACAAGGTCTAATGGTCACAAACTGCTGGAAGACCATTTTAGACTAGACATAAGGAAAAACTACTTTACCATGAGTCTCTAGCGTCTGGAATTGACTACGCCAGAAGTGGTGCAAGACCTATTCTGGATACCTTTAAGAAATGCTGGGACGCTTATCTTGTTGGGGTGATCTGACCCCAGCTGACTTCCTGCCCCTTAGGCAGGGGGCTGGACCCAATGATCTTGTGAGGTCGCTTCCAGCCCTAGTCTCTAAGAAATCTATAGACTCAGGACTTCATTCTCTAGGCCACCTTTAATGCGTACTAAACCAACCAGAGAAGAAGCATTCACCTTGCTGAGTCTTGTTGCTTCCTAAATCTCCCTCTTTTCCACCTCTGAGGTACGAGCCACTCCCCTTTCACCCCAGGGCTAAGTACAGACATTGAAAAGCCTGAACCTGAATTAATTCAATCTTTGCCTGTTAGTCTAATCTGCATAAATTGAACCAGTTAGCAAGTGAATAGACATCCACATTTGATTCCAGAAATGCAGCCACATGCCTGCAGTGGCTCAGCCCAGAAGCCAGCTAGAATGAGCCCTCCCTTCCCTTCCAAGGTGGCTGGAAGGCTGGAGGGAAACTGAGCTGGGAGGGCATGGCCAGACTCCAGCTGGCCTGAGTATGATTGGGGAGGGGTTTATACCCCAACCCTGGCCTGCAGGAACCACAGACAAGTTATGTTTGGAGGGGGAGAGGGGAAGCAACCCTTGCCAAGCTTTGGGGGATGCTTGGGAGAGAGTGTGGCTGACCCTGGGCTTGGCTCGCACCAAATAGTTAATCTCTCAGCCCTGGGCCTCACAGTGGGGAAGGAGGAGTAGGAGGGGGAGAGCCCTGTCCGCTGCAGTGGTTTCATGACAGCCTGGCCTGGCCTGTGCATGGGGAGCCAGGAGCAAACTGGGCACACAGCTCCTGCAGCCCCAGCCCAAGCCCCAGCCAGCTGGGAAGGGCCCTGCCTCATGACCTGGCCCGGTCCCTCTGCATTCACTCTCAGCAGCACCCGTGGCCCAGACTGGCTCAGCCCCATAGCTCCAGCCCCAGCCCAAGGCTAGGCAACCAGATGGCAGGTCCATACCAGGTGGCATCTGGCCATTCCCCTACTCCTTTTGCTGGAGCAGCGAGCGGAGTGGGGGAGGGGGGAGGGACCCCTGATGTGGCTTCAGCCCCTGTTATGGTGACCTGGGGAGCAGGGGCTGAGGGGGGCTGCACTGTGGGTGGGAGCGGGGCAGGCACAGATGCTGCAGCCAGAGCAGGATGAGCGGGGGTGGCAGCAGTGCTGGGGCAGGTGGCTATGGGAGCTAAGGTGAACTTTGGGGCAGTCATAGCCCCTCAAACCCATCCTAGGGTTGCTGCCAGCTGCATGCTCCCCATAGTCACCCCTCCCAGCTCCACCTCTGCTTCTGCTTCTTTCCCTGCGTCGTCTTCTGCTCACCTCCTAAAAACAGGAGAGTGACAAAGAGACCAAAATAAATTAAAAGGATCAAGAACATCAAGATGAAACAGAAATCCCCTAAACAAGGCCTCATCCTAGATTTCTTTGGGAACATGGTAATTACTAAGGGAACTGCATGCCAATTTATCAGACAGATCAACCTGAGATAGTTTATTTGTGCACATGGACATCTTAAGAGGCTACCACTATGAGCACAATACTGGAATCTTCTGAATACAAGCTAATTGATATAGTGAATCTGACCACAGCACTGATCTTATAAACAATCAAAAAGAGAGGACCCTGGTAACCAAAGATTTTCTGCCATCACAGGCAGACTTATATCTGTTCTGTGTCATCATCGGCAAGTGGTGCCTCCTGAGTTGGGGGTGGGGGAGGGGGGCGGGACTGGCCACCCCAGCGGCCAGTTGCACCAATGGGGGGTGGGGACGTGTTCCCCCACAGCCAGTTGCACACACCAACCCAGAAGCAGCATTCCCTCTAAGCTGGCTAAGAGGGAACACTGCCCGGAAGTGCCAGTGCCAGTGGTGTGCCCAGAAGGAGCAGGGATGCACCTGGAAGTGCTAGTGACACTTCTCCTGGCACCCCCATTCCCCGGCCACCGCTCATAGGCAGGGCACCAGTGCTTCCACGTGCCCCCCGCCCTCTGCCTAAGTGGGGGATGCTACTGTGATGGGGTGCACCCCAGTGCTCTCAGGGGGTGCACCCCCACGCGTCACCACTGTGTGTCATTTTCCTGTTTTCCAGCAAACAGAAACCTCCAGTTCCTTAGCGCAACAAGATTAGAGCAGACTGATTTCCAGCAGAGGCCATCAAAGGACAGGGTTTATCTGCATGGTGGCAGAGTACAAGATCTACAATCTGAACACAGGCAATCGACCCTGCTTCTCCTCCTGTGGACGTTTGCTAGCACCGAATCTTCTTCTACAGGCCTTAACCTTCCAGGATTTGGCATTACTGCTACTGCCCACATATCCTCCTTATCTGCTGCAGTGAAGCTCCAGAGAAAATTGTATTTCTTCTTGCTGGAATCCCAGAACAAAGCTTGGATAATTCAGTATTCTGTTTTGTCCCTCAAAAGTTAAGTGTTGCAACGGAGCCTTTTCTCTGCTACATGAATTGAACAGCTTTGCTGCTGTGTCTACTCCTTTGCCCTTCCCTCTCTGCTTTTAAGACAACATTCAGCAGACGGCCAAAGAGTTCACATAGATAGTCAAAAAGTCCAAGGGACCATATTGACTGGTGCAGGCGGGTGGCACAGGAGCCATTACGCTAATGTCATATCATAAGAAGATCTCATTTCAAAGCTTGGCTTATTGTGGTTTTAGATTGTGTTGCTCTGATGATACAGGACACTGTGGCCTGTATATACAAAGAAAAGCAGACTTACTTTTAATAATGTTTGCTTTTGCTGACTACAGGGAGTTCTATGTGACATACTGACACTGTGAGTAAAAAGAGACATCAAGATTATCCTGGGTGTGATTGTCCCAGGCTTTGAAGGTCTTGATACATGGTAATTTTAGGTGACTTCTTGAGCTCTTAACCCCTGGACTGACTGCATGTTAACACCTTTTAAGTAGCTTAGGACTCATTATTTATCTTTATGTTATTTTGCTCACTTCTGAACTACTGCTTTCTGGGGCACTTGTATAACTGTGCATAGGAGAGGATATATTACCCAAAAATGAGCCATAATGTTCACATCCATTGTTCTTTCAAGGTCCAAGTTTGGAGTATCAATGAAGTACTTTACACTTGGAACAGCTGCATCATTGACTAGGATAGTAACATCGCCAACTTCTTGTCTAACCTAAAGGAAGGAGAAAAGAAAAACAAACCAAGATTTTATGCAACATACATTCTTTCTGTTTTTTTTCTGATTTAAAACACAACTCCTCCTCACCGAGAAAACCCACCCAAATACGTCAAAGGGAAAGCACATATTCTGGCCTCCGGCAGCCCCCCCCAGCTGTATCTAGACCATGGAGCTCCTCATCGGCCAGAGCTGAACTCAACTAATGGAATGTTTTGGGTAGGGGTAGCATGGGGGTTAATGCAACCCTCACTTGTCTCCCTGCCATTAATATGTGCGCCAACAGGGCTATGTATCCTGGGAGTTTTATGGCAAGCTTCACCCCCACTCAGGCTTCTACTGTTTCCTGGCCCCTGCAGGAGTCCCTCAGTTTGGGTAAAACAGCTCCATGAGTCAGCTTTTTGGCACCCCTGGCCAGGAGGATCTGGTGAAAAGTCTAAAATAAAACCATACAGGGTACATCCACATATAGCTGTATGGTGGTTTTGTCACTGTGCTGTCATTTAGTACTACTTTGTGGAAGTACTAAAAGATGGCACAGTAACAGTCCTCACTGCACTATGCTGGCTCTGCACAATTATTTTTGGCCACTACATTGATGTAGTAATGTGCTACAAAGAGGGATTACTTTGCTACAGTGACATAGTGGCAGTGTCATGTTTTTTGCCAATGGATGCTATGGTGCTGTAGTGGGACATTACGGAGCCATAGCGTCTTGTGTAGATGCACCCAGTGTTGGAGAGTAAGGGTGTATTGTGGACTGAAGCAGATATAAGTCTAACAGACTCCTGCTATTTTGCAACATTTTCTGCCACTTTTAGCTGTTACAATTCTTCAAACCATTATAGAAAACATAACTAGGAGTATACCTACAGATAAAAAAAAAGAAGCTAAAGGGAAAACAAATATTAGGGCCTTAAGCAGGGGTGTCAAAATGCACAGCCCTCTGGGCTGGATCTGGATTATGAGGCTCCTTGTAGGTCAGATCTGGTTTCATCTTCAGGATGAGTGAGTGGTGGTAGTGTAAGGGTTAACACAACCCTCACTTGTCTTCCTGCTGCTGTGACATATCTCAGTAGGGCTCCATACCTGGGAACCAAAGAGGATGACCTAGTAAACACTCTGAGGATTGAAGGGAAGCTGGGCGACAGTGACCATGAGAAGATCACTGTCTTCATCCACCATACATCAGGGAAATTGGCCAGTAGGGTAGAAATCCTTGATTTTAGGAAAGCTCACTTCCACCATCTCAGGAGTTTGGTTGCTGAGGCCCTGCAGGACAACGGCCCAATGAGGAAAGGAGTAAAATAAGAGTGGTTGTTCCTCAAGGAAGTGATTCTAAAAGCTCAAAGGAAGTCCATTTCTTGTCATACGAAAGGCAGCAAAAGGGCTAGGAGACCCTCTTGGCTCAATAAGAAGTCATAGACCTCCTGAAATCAAAACGAGATGCCTACAAGGGATGGAAGACAAAAATAGCTACCGAAGAGGAGTATTCAGCAATAGCTCGCACCTGTAGGGAGTGGATCAGGACAGCAAAAGCACAAACCCAATACAAATTGGCAACCAAAATCAAAGACAATGTAAAGTCATTCTTAAGATATGTAGGGAGTAGTAAAAAACATAAGGGAAGCATAGGGCCGCCAATGAATTAAATGGGACAGCAGATAACTGACACTCAGGACAAAATCGAATTCCTGAACTAATCCTTCACATCGGTATTTCACCAATCCAAGAGTTTTAGCCTGCTGGACAAGATACAGGATGTTCATGGTGGAGGCGACCACCCTCCCATAGGTCTTATGGGAGACCTCTTACAAGGACTAAATATCTACAAGTCAGCAGGACCAGATGAACTACACCAGAGAGAGCTAAAATAACTGGCCAATGTCATTGTGGAACCTGTGGCCAAGTTATTTAAAGACTCATGGTGCTCATGAGAGGTCCAAGAAGACTGGAAGATGGCCAATGTGGTGCCTATCTTTAAGAAAGGGAGAAAGGAGGACCCAGGGAATTACAGACAAATCTTGGGTAAAATCCTGGAAAAAATTATCAAAGAATCCATCATTGACAGGCTAACAGAAGGTAGTACTCTGCAGGATGGCCAACATGGCTTTGTTATGGGCAGGTCATACCAGACCAAATTCATCTCCTGTGATCAGGTAACTCACCATCTGGATAGGGGGAATGATGCTGATGTCATACACTTGGATTTCAAAAAGGCCTTCAACCTGGTCTCCCAGGATGTCCTCATGGTTAAATTGGGAAAATGTGGCTTCGACTGCTTTATGGTCTAGTGGCTAGGTAACTGGCTCTGTGGTAGGACTGAGAGAGTACTGATTGACAGAACTGAGTCATCTTGGTGGGAGGTGACCAGTGGCATCCCTTGGGGCTCAGTACTTGGACCAGTACTTTTCAATATGTTCATCAACAATTTGGATTTGGGTATTAAAAGTGAAGTTTGGGGACAAGACCAAACTATGAGAGAATGTGGTCATGTTCCAGGACAGGCTGATACTACAGGCTGACCTGGACAGGTTTGCGAGGTGGGCAGACCTCAACCTGATATCTTTTAATACAGAGAAATGCAAAGTGCTCCATCTGGGGAGAAATAATCCTCAACACACTTGCAGGCTAGCACTATAATTAAATGACACCTGGCTGTCATGATAGAAGCCAAAGATGTCATCCTCCCACTCTACTCGACCTTGGTGAGACCACAGCTGGAGTATTGTTCTGGGTGCTGCACTTCAGGAAGGATGTGGAGAAGCTTGAGAGAGTCCAAAGGAGGGCCACTTGCATGATTAGAGGCCTAGAGACCATGTCATCTGAGGAGAGCCTGAAAGACTTGGGACTATTCAGCCTGGAGAAGAAAAGACTCAGAGGGGACTTGGTGGCAGCCTATAAGTATATCAGGGGAGACTGGGGGATCAACTATTCACCAAAGCCACCCAGGGCAGGACTAGAAAGTAATGGCACAAACTGATTGAAGATCGCTTTAGACTAGTTATACGGAAAAAATTCTTTACAACTAAAGTAGCACTATTTCACCAGCAACATTTTTATGAGTAGGAAAAAACATCATTACAAAAGCCTCAAAGTAGTAATATATAAACAATACCAGGAACTGGATTGTCTCCAACATGGTGTTTATGCAGGACATGATTGCTCGAGTACCTGTTAACGAGAGATTATTTTCTAATGAACAACAAAATATTACTGAATCCCTCAGAAAAACAGAATAGCCCAGACATACTGCTTTCTTCAATGTTTGCTTTTACCATGATACCATAAAACTAGAATAACATTTTCTACAAATAAGGTCTCATGCCTGCAAATTATTTGTGAATTATTTTAATATCTTGTGAGATCAGACAAGGAAACTTATGGAAATAAATACAAAGAACTAGACATGGTGTAATTCTCCCTCTGATCAGATGGACAATTGCTTCATTCTTCAATTTTTCTATTTTTTCTGCCAGTCATTTAGAGAAACAAGTTTTAACCTACCTTGCATAGGATATTAGAAGCTTGAAGTGTTAGCTTACTAAGAAGCAGTTAGCTGTGTTAGGCTGAAGAAGGGCAGAAGGCAGGGCTGGGAGGCATCTTAAAGCAGGGCAGGGTGCCTGCTCTGACACACTGTAATTATAAGTGTCAAAGCAGATTCAATTAATTGAGTCTGCTGGAGCATGCTAATTCGGCTTCAGCAGCCTCTGTGTTTTGTGTATTCAGTGTCCTTGAACTTCAAAATGATGGTGGGGACACTTTAACTAAAGCTTGTGGAATGAGCTTTAATTAAAGGGCTCCCACCACCATTTTGAAGCATGGGATGCTGAATACACGAGACACT